GCATTGTTTGAAAGTAATGCTTCTATGCTCATAAGAAGGATAAGATATTGCTTATAAGCAATGCCATCTCCTACAATAACGAGTTATAGTTAAGGTTGGATGCACTCAATAAAGAAAAAGGAAAAAATAAATCATGTACTCAAGCGGTGCCGTGATGCATGCTGATCTGTTGTACTGACTTTCCCAACATTTAGAAGTAAAAGCCATTTGAGGGAAAGTTGTTATTATAACAAAGCATTTGTAATGCTTTGTTATGTGTTAATAGTAATACAACAAAATAACCTTCATGGAAGTCTCTTCATATGCAGAGAAGCAAAAAAAGTTCTAAAAACAATATGACGCACCATAAAAGCACCCTAAAATTTACATGACCTTTCTTATGGATTACCTTAATAGCTGATAACAATCAAGGTTTATCATGATACCGAAAGGTATCAAACTACCTTTCAAACGAAAACCTTCATGAGACGAAATTACATATATAAATTGAAACTCATGCACCTCTATATATATTTTATATAATCAATAATTTTTTATTCCACCCATCTCGAAATAAATCTAATGTTCACGGTGATCAAATTTGTATCAGGATATTCTTGCCCATTCTTGCCCCTTCATTCAATCACAATCCCATATCGAGGAAGAATACGTAAACCAATGAAACACATGATGCCAAAATAATTAAACATCAGTCATGTATCTGGATTTCACTCCAAGATCCCAAATAAAGCTCAGTGCTCACAAAAAAAAAAAAACAGATCTACAATCAATATGAAGATAAACATATATGGATTTCACTCCCAAAAAACTTTAAATCCTAGGCTTCACTCAAAAAAATTAAATAAACCTAAAAAAATTTTATGAAAATTCAAGTTAAGACGCAAACCTGAAGATAAATATGAAATATTACTGAAAATATTTTTGAAGAAGACGATTCGGTAGCCTTACAAGCAAGTAACCAAGCAAAAATATCGACGACCGAATACCAAAGCAAGAATATCGAGAGTGGTCATTCCAACGCCGACCGCCGAGGAAAAATACACTTTATCGAAGAAAATTATAAGTAGAGATTAGAGAATGAACACAAGCAATCAACCCTAAGCTCTCATCGAGAGAAAACTTTTCGCGATTTTGAGACAAGGAGGGTTCTCACCGAGAGAAGCTTTTCGTGATTTTGAGAGGAGGGTTCTCACAGTCATCGAGAGGAAGCTTTTCACGAATTCGAGAGGAGCGGCCGAAACTAAGCTTTCGAGAGAGGAGAAAGAGCGGCGTGCTTTCGAGAGGGAAAAGGCGAACACGGGTGACGGGGTTAGGGCTTTCGCCTGGGTAATAAGGCATTTTATATTTGTTTCATTGTTTGTATATATTAATATATATAAATAATTTATATAAAACATTATATTAATTATATACCTTAGATTATATAAATATATAATATATATATATTACTAGTATTATATATAAATATATTATTATTAATAATTTATAGTACATTATAATTTACAAGATTTAATTTTTAAAATATGTCAAATTTTTTTAGTATATAATTATTTTTGAAATATCATAAATTATATATATATATATATATATTAATTTTTTTTATATCTCGAACAATAACGATTCGAACAAGAACGAATGCATCTCTGTTTGTGTTTGGTTCGTTTAACAAACCGAACGAAAAAAATTGTTCGTGTTCGTCTCGTTTGCTTATCAAACAAATCGAACACGAACACTATGATGAATCAAACACGAACTGTTCGCGAACAACGAGCTTTTTTGACAGCCCTACTTTCAACGAAAACACATTTTTGCAAAACATAAAAAATTGTGGTGCGCCACTGCACCTCCATCACCACCGCCACTGCACTGCACCACCACTCGAAACACACCTTAAGTTTAACTCGACTGGATTTAGCAGAGGTGCGACTCAAAGTACTGTAGTTACTTTTGCCAAATGCAGAAGACAACATAAGTGTGAATACCTGATGCTGTCAGCCTTGTCATATAACAAGATATTGTTCATCCCTTGGTGAGAAGAACATTGAAGATCATAAAACAGGCATAGCCCCTACAAGTAGGCAGAGAAAGATAGAGTCTATAACTTCAGCTCCTACTTTAGTTCAACCAAGTTAACCTGTTCGACCTTAAGTTTATTTTTTTACTCATACCGAGGCTGAAGAATTTGCTGCTGCTTATGGCGAATGAGTTTGATGAGGTTGGTGTTTTCTTATATATAATGGTATTTTCCTAGCATACTTCCTTGCTTCAGTAACTATGTTTTATTTTTGATGTGTTGTTATTCTGATTTTATTGGTGCGCGGATTATAGTTAAGCAACATTTTATCAGGCCTTTACAACAATGGTTTTCATTTTATTAAATAACCTCTAATTTTCATCATGAACTTTATAGATAGTTCATGTCGATGTGCTTAATGAAAAATGACTCACTATCTGTATATAAATTTCAAGGATAAAATTTTTCTAAGTGTGAAAGATTGTGATGTCTTGTTTCATCTCTTATAGGGAGTCGAAGGGTGGGAGAGGAAATGAGCAATCAAGAACACAAAATTGTACTTTTGTTCTATAAAAAGAAGCAATACGGAGGCGAGATCGAGAGAATTTGTAATAGAAGGCGACCTTAACAACTTACCGAGAGAGTTGATCGATGCTTGATGAGGGCAACAAAGTTTGCAGGAGCATCGACGTCGACAATTGGCGAGGGCGATTGCGTGGGAGTTTGATGCCGAGTGTGAGTACCATGAGGAAGAAGAAGTCGAAGGAAAAGGAAGATTATTACGGTTTTTCTTTCACCGGTGTGGGAAGCTTTCGATTCCTAGTAGAAAAGAGGAAGCAACTCTTGTTCGAGTATGGCCTCGAGTGTAGGGGAGGAAGATTAGAGGTCTCGTGTGCACTGTTTCGACCATGATTTATTAAGGGGTAGGTTTAATATTTAATTAGGTTATTTAATATATATATATGCGCGCGCGCGTGTGTGTGTGG